CGATCAAGCGTCTGACTCTTGATTTTGGCTCAGGTCATGGTCTCAGGGTTGTGAGATGGAGCCTGTGTTGGACTCCACGCCCAGCGTGGAGTCTGCTTAAGATTCTGTCTCTCTCCCTCTGCCCCTCCCCCGCCTCCCTCCCTTAAAAAAAAAAAAGAAAGAGAGAAAAGAAAGGTAAACCAAATCGTATTTATTAGGCTCATGGCACTGCCGTTATTGTGCTGCTAAGTACAAATATGGCACAAATTTAATTCTTTTCAACCTTTCTTTACTCAACTGTGCAATTATAAGTGATTCCAGAGAGAAAGAAAAGGAAAGGCTTGGGAAGAAAATACTGGCGCTATAAAGAAGTTCTCTGAGTAGCTGAAATTTTAAAAGGTTGGGTAAGGGGCGCCTGGCAGGCTCGGTCAGTAGGGCATGCGACTATTGCTCTCAGGGTTGAAAATTCAAACCCCATGTTGGGCATAGAGCTTACTCTAAAAAAATTTAAAAAAAATAGAAGGTTGAGTAACAAGTATAATAGCTACCTCTTCTGGTTTTGAGAGTTCAGCTCAGATGCTGTATTATACAGCACTTTATACAGATTCTGCTCTTTAATTCTTTCTGTTTGGGGCCTACAAATGATTAGTAGACAACTACATAGTGGGTAGTTATCATTTTCCTGATTGCTCAGCCTCTAAATTGCCTTTATAAGTTTGGAATATAGTCCACTGTGTGAGGCGGGCCTGCATCTCACTCATGGAAGCCAAAAGGCACATGTATCAGTTTTCCCTGATCACTGACTACTTGGAACTCAGTCAATCCCACCTGGATCATGATTCAGGAGATAGGAGCCCAGAGAAGCAGGCAATGTGCAAAACTTACCCTGGGATCGGAAGCACGCGGCATGTGGTGGCAGCTGGGGCAACTAGGACCCCCGTCCTCCATGTGTTGCCAGTGTCCGCCAGCAGTGTTCTTCCTGCGGTGTGTTTCCTCTGTGGGTCCAGCCCCCCAGCCTCCCTTCACGCCTGCCTGTATTCCCATCCTGCTTCTCCAGCCTGTCCATTGATTCTTTGAGCTCAATACTGTTTCGATAAATTCCTTTTTTTTGCTTCAGTCAACCAGAATTAGTTTTTATTGTTTGCAACCAAAAGACTCAGGCTGGTACATAATCTTTTTGGGGGGGGCACATAGTCTTTAAGTAATGCTTAACTCAAGAGTCTGATGCTGCTGCTTTTTTATTTTTTAAAGATTTTTTGTTTTCAGTTTTTATTTATTGACGTAATCTCTATACCCAACGTGGAGCTCGAAGTCACGACCCCAAAGATCAAGAGTCGCAAGCTCTTCCAACAGAGCCAGTCAGGTGCCCCTGATGTCACTGCTTTTAGTGCAGATCTTTGGATAAAGTCGTGGTCAAATTTGCAACTGGCCTGGGAGTTCTATCTGGGCTCCCTTGAAGTCGATGCATCTCAGGCACAATGTCTGCTGTCCCATCTTAAGCCAACTTCTTCCTCTGTCTCTCACAACTTCTTAATTCACACTCATTCATCCACCCAGTCAATAAAAACTCATTCAGCACCTACTGTATACAAGGCAAATGCCAGGCACTGAGAGGAGCCCAAAGATCAAGAAGCTGTAGACCTTACAGTATACTTTAGGATTCTGAACCAGGTAAATGTATTTTCTTTTCAAAAAAGAAATTTAAAAATTGATCACTCTGTGGAGGGTAGAAGTGAAGAGGAACTCTATCTTTGAGTTGTGTCACTGGGGGCAAAGGTGATGTCCACTTCTTTGTAAATGTTCTAGAAACCAATCCCCCCAAAATAATTGGTTCCTTTGTTCGAGTTTTCCAGTTGAAAACAAACAAGTCATTCTCTGGAGCACTGAGAAAAGAAGTTGGCCATTAGATTGTCACCCATCAAAGTATTTGTGACTAGGATAAGAGTTGGGGCACTAGTGTTAGTACTTTAGGAATTTAATTCAAGATAACCCAGAGTTCTCAAACAGAATCTAAGAAACATCTGTTTCAAGTGAAAATACTAGCCAGCTTGTCTCCTTTTCCTTAAGTTACCAAATAAATACTTCTTGGGGGCATGGAACTCTGCTACCTCTGGAACTCCAGTAACATAGCAATTGCCCAGGGAGTATTGGCACTTGTGTCTGAAATCACAGAACACTCAACACAAGCAAGGAAGAAGGGCACACATTAATAATGTAAAGTGAAACAGGCAGAGCAGATGATTCCATACTCCCAAGAAAAGACTGGTCACACTCCCCCCACCCCCAACACACACACACACTTTACAGGAGCAGAACCGAGGTGCTGAGCACTCAAGATCCTTCCCACAAACAGGAAGTCCATTTAGAAGTCAGCCTTGCTTTGGGGTTAGGTCTTCACTCCCTAGGGGGCTTTGGATAGGTCACATAACCACTCTAGGATTCCATTTCCCTTTAGAATCCCTACAGAATGGGAAAGAAACCTAGAGATCCTTAAACCAGTCTTTTATGGGACACTTCTTTGAAGTATTCCTTTTTTTTTTTAAGATTTCATTTATTTATTTGAGAGAGAGAGCGCGAGTGTGAGCATGAGTCGGGGGGCAGGAGGAGAAGCAGACTCCCTGCTGAGCAGGGAGCCGCTGCGGGACCCTGAGATCGTGACCTGAGCTGAAGGCAGATGCTTAACCAACTGAGCCACCCAGGCGCCCTCATGTGTTCATTTGATGAGGGTCTACCACACACCTCTGGTATCCCCCTTTGAAGCATTCCTGATAAGCCTCTCTGCTTGAATGCTGACTTAAAAAAAATTTTTTTTAAGATTATTTATTTATTTGTCAGAGAGAGAGAGAGAGAGAGAGGGAGCACAAGCTGGGGGAGGAGCAGGCACATGGGTAAGCAGGCTCCCCGCTGAGCAAGTTGCTTAACCCACTGAGCCACCCAGGCATCCCTTGAACGCAGACTTTAAAAAAAATTTTTTTGTTATTATTGTATAGTTGACATGCAATGTTATATTTCGGGTTTTGTTGTTGTTGTTTTAAAGTTTATTTATTTTTTGGTAATCTCTACACCCAGCGTGGGGCTCAAACTCACAACCCCAAGGTCAAGAGTCACATGCTCTTCCAAAAGAGCCAGCCAGGCGCCCTGCAGTGTTATATTTTGAATGTCGACCTTTAGAGGTAAGATGCTCGCTCTCTCCAGGCACTGATGTCACTTTTGAAATGTTCTGTTAGAGAAGTTCTTCCTTACATGTTGCAATGTGTGCCTTCTAGATTTCCCCATGCTAGTGACTTCTCAGGTCATATGCATGAAGTCTGTTCCATGGATCAGAAAGCTCTCAACTTCCTTTGCTTTTCTTGTCTACCGACTAAACCAACGCTCTCCCCTTCTATTGTTTTCATCCATCACATTCAAGACACAGCCCATTTTGGTCTTTATATTTTTTGGTTTTGGGGGGTTTTTTAAAAAGATTTTTTTTATTTATGAGAGAGAGCACACACATGAGAGATCACAAGCGGTAGGGAGGGGCAGAGGGAGAAGCAGACTCCCCACTCTGAGCAGGGAGCTGGAGCGGGGGGCTTGATCCCAGGACCCTGAGATCATGACTTGACCCCAAGGCAGAGGCTTAACAGACTGAGCCACCCAGGTGTCCCTGGTCTTCATGTTTTTATGGGTGTAGACTAGTGGTTAAGCAATGGAGGAGACCGAGGCCTCCAACTGTCTGAACTTGAATACTGGTCCTATCGCTTAGTAGCTACTTAAGAGTGGGCAAGTTACTTTCATTTTTCTGGCCTCAGTTTTTCTAAAATGAGGATAATAGTAACAGTAATGCTAAGAAACATGCCTATTTTATAGAGAAATTGTGAATGAGATAAATGAGAAAACACAAAATGTTTAGTATAGTCCTGGCACTTAGGAAGTAATATTACTATTGCTATCACTAATAATAATAAATATTAAGCCCCAATAATGAGAATAATAATTAGAACCGAGAAGATTTAGGGAAGTTAATCTAGTCGATTCCTGACACCACAAACAAGGTTTGCCTTCCCTGATACGAAATTTTTCATAGCAATTTTCACTTTTCAATGTCAATGTTCAACGTCTGACCACCCTCACCCCCCCACACTCCCCCAAGGGGGCGGGGACCTTGTCTGCCATGGTACTTAGGGCCTAGAACATTGTCCCATTTCACAGCAGGGGGAGAGTGGACCGAATATTTTACATCACAGGAAAGGAGACTGGGGTGCAGGGAGACTGGCAGATTTGTCTAAGACTGTGCTCGTGGGAGAGCTGGGTAAGAACCCATAAGCCCTAGGCAGCGGACCCTGGGAATGAAATCGAGGTCCCGCCCTAAAATCTGGTGCTTCGAGCAGGGTCACGTATATACAGATTTTCAGTGACCCAGAGGTCAACATTCCCACCGGGTGGCCTAAGCACTGGCCGGTGCTTTGGGGGTGCCGAGCCCAGGCGAGAAGGCGGCTGAACGAGAAGGCACGGGTGCGTGCCCCCCGCCCTGGCTGCGCTGCACTCAGAGCCGCCGCCGCTCTCGGCGCTGGCGGCGGGCCAGGGCCACCCCCGGCCGGGCCCGGTCCCGGGAGCAGCGAGTGGAAAACAACCTGGCCGCAGACAATTGACAAAGGCGCGCGAGCGGGCCGCCCCTTCGCGGCGCACGCACGCACGCAGCGTGGGCAGAACCGCGCCAGCCCGCGTCCACCGTGGGACCCGCGGCGCCGAGGCCCAGGTGCGGCGCGTCTCGGGGAGCGGGGCGCCCCTCCCGCCCCGGCGGCTGGTTCCGGGCGCCCGAGCTCCGCGCGGGGAGTGTGCCCGGCGATAGGGGCGGGATCGACTGGCAGGGCGCCGAGGGGCGCGGGGAAGCCGCCACCGCTCCTGGGCCGAGCGGGGAGGTGGGGTGGGGGGTCGCGGGGGCCGTAACGACCCGGTCCCAGGAGGCGCGGTCGAGCTTTGTGTCCTGGGCCTGAGGGAAATGCGAGCAACCTGATCCACGTGACCTTTTACAGGTGGGGAGCTAAGGCCCAGAGAGGTAAGGTGGTCTAGATAAAACTATTATTTCTTGCGTCGGTTTGTTTATCCCTGCCCGCTTCGGTGTAGGATTTGGGGTGACTTTTAATAAGAATTCATAGGTTAAAACAATGGGAAAATAAATACAAACAATATTAAAGAATCCTTGCCAAGGAAAATATAATTATGACTACAGGCCAGGGGGAAAGAGAAAGGAAATTTGCAGGCCCTATGTTGAGCCGCCTTGGCCAAGGACCCCGGGCAAAGTAGTGTCAAAGCGACCAGACGCCTGACTGTCGGGCTCCCCCGGGGGTACAGTGAGCTTGTATTCCCCCCCTCCCCAGAACTTGGAGGGGGATAGAGAAACAGCAGCCTGCCCACGGGCTTCACTTTCTTGGGATCCTGGACCCCTTAGAAATCTGGGACCCTCCCCACAGAGGGGTTCACACATAACCTTGCACACAGTTTCAGATTTCACATGAAGCATTCTGCTGTAAGAAATGACGGAAGGCTGGCACTCGGGCTGTGCTGTTTAGAGCAATTTTTTGCTCTTTTAAAGAAAGGCAGGCGGGAAAGAAGCGAGTACCAATGTTAGTCCAGACAGTATCCTGACCCCGCTAGCTGTGTGATCTTGGACACATCGTTTAACCTCTCCAAGACCCAGTTTTTTGTTTTTTGGGGTTTTTTTCTTTCAAGATTTTATTTAAATTCAAGTTAGTTCACTTATATAGTGTAGTATTCATTTCAGTCCAAGGCCTGGTTTCATCTGTAAAATAGAGATAAGATTGTCTGCTTCATCCTCAAGTTATTTATTTTTTTTTTAAAGATCTTATTTATTTGACAGAGAGAGGCACAGCGAGAGAGGGAACACAAGCAGGGGGAGTGGGAGAGGGAGAAGCAGGCTTCCCGCGGAGCAGAGAGCCAGATCCCAGGACCCTGGGATCATGACCTGAGCCAAAGGCAGACGCTTAACGACTGAGCCACCCAGGCCCTCCCATCCTTCAGGTTATTGTCAGACTTAGGAATGAATGCTGAGCCCAGTGTCTGGCACGTAGGAAGTGCTCAGTGAACGTGCTGGTGCACAGAACACAGTGGCTCACAGTTGTGCCAGTTAGGAAAGATGATGACCCGGAAGAAATTGGTCTGTCTCTGAAATAAAACACAAAATTTTAAAGATTACAAACATGAAACTATAAAGTGAACCCTATAATGACTTACAAGCGACAGCACAGATTTGGTGATAATCATCTAAATAAAAGTGCAACAGTGCCCCACGTCAGTATTTGGCCTAAGGTGAAATGCTGACAGTAGAAGCGACCAAACATTCTAACAGGACTGTTTATTGGGCCTTGCTTGCCTCTTTTGAATGGAACCAGCACCTGTATAGCTTGTTTTTAAATAAGAGGAAAGAGGAGGGCGTATGTGGGGACCTGGGCAACACCCAGTCTTGCCAGGTGATGGGGGCTCAGCTGACTTTCTGCCAGGGTACAGGAGTTGCTAGCAGTTGGCTCTCATCCCTCGGGGATCAGCAGCTTGTCGTGGTCAACAGAGCCTTGGTTGATTGTGTTCTAGATCAAATAAATGGCTTTTTATTTAACTGATGGGGGTGTGTGTGTGTGTGTGTGTGTGTGTGAGTGCTATAACTGAAGCAAAATGGCATTTGTTGAGCTTGATTGTTCAAAGCCTATTGCTTGTTTATTGACAAGCTTAGGAGGTTTTGTGTTTTTTTTTTAAGATTTTATTTATTTGATTTATGTATAGAGAGAGCAAGCGAGTGCACAAGGGGGGAGGGGCAGAGGGAGAGGGAGAAGCAGACTCCCCACTGAGTATGGAGCCCTCGCTGGATCCCAGGACCCTGGGACCACAACCCGAGCCCAAGGCAAACACTTAACCGACTGAGCCACCCAGGCGCCCCAGGCTTAAGAGTTTTAAAATCTGCTGATCCAAAATTGTGAGGACAGGGCCTGGGCATGCCTACTTGCCTATAAAAAGAACTGCTTTTACAAAATACCGTGTTGTCTCCTTTCTCTGCCATTTTAGGCCTTGCAAATAGAGTCAGGGAAATATGGCTTAGGGCAAACAGCTGCTATTTAATTTGGGTTAAGACACACATTACCTGTCTGGTGGGTTATATTCCTCTCCAGGTGTTTATAAAGGAGTTTTTCCTCAGAAACAGAGAATGTGTATGTGTGTGATGTCTCTTGCCCCCTCTTTGCCTCCCCTTGACCCAGTCATTTCTCAACCCAGAGAAGTCCTTTTTCTGCAAGCCCACTGACTTTGGCAAGTTCCTTCCCTTTCCTGGCTCTGTGGCCTGATTTTGCTTCACAGTAACTCTGTTAGAAAGTTGTGGGGTTTTTTTGTTGGGTTTGTTTGTTTTTTTAAGTAGGCTCCATGCCCAATGTGGAGCCCAACATGGGCTTGAACTCACGATCCTGAGATCAGACCTGAGCTAAGATCAAGAGTCAGTCACTTAACTGACTGAGCCACCCAGGCATCCCTGTTTTGTTTTTTATTTATTTATTTTTAAAATTTTTTTTAAAGATTTTATTTATTTATTTGAGAAAGAGAGAGCACAGAGGGAGAGTGTGAGGGAGAAGCAGACTCCCCACTGAGCAGAGCACCCAATGTGGGGCTTGATCCCAGGACCCTGAGATCATGACCTGAGCCGAAGGCAGACACCCAACCAACTGAGCCACCCAGGTGCCCCTGTTTTGTTTTTTTAAAGTAAGCTCTATACCCATCATGGGGCTTAAACTCAGGACCCCAAGATTAAGAGTCGCATGCTCTACCAACTGAGCCAGCCAGGTACTCCTAAAAAGTTTTCTCTAATTTGACCTTTAGGTTCTAAACATTTGGTGCTCCATAGGATGACATAGAGCAAACATACTCTCTTAGGCCAAGGCTCTTCCTTATTTGAATGCAGCCCATGGACCCTTTTCATGTTTCTCCCTCTAGACTCGCTGCCTTCATTCCTTCAACATTTCTTAGTAGGATGAGATTAAAAGCAGAATTTCCCAAGAAATGATCTACAGACTACTTGCATCAGAATCACCTAGTGACTGGGGTGCCTGGGTGGTTTGGTCGGTTGAGCGTCTGCCTTCGGCTCAGGTCATGATCCCATCGTCCTGGGATCGAGTCCTACATCGGGCTCCCTGCTCAGTGGGGAGTCTGCTTCTCCCTTCCCTCTGCTGCTCCCCCCTGCTTGTGCTCGCTCTCTTTCTCTCTCTTTGTCAAATAAATAAATAAATAAATAAAATCTTAAAAAAGAATCACCTAGGGGCTTGTGGAAATATGCCCCATTCCTGACCACCTGAATCAGAATCTTCAAATGTGGAGGCAAGAATTTGCATGCCTGACAAGTGCTCCCAGTGATTCTTATGCACCTTTAGTTATCTGTGTGGGTGTTGGGGGTGGGGATTGGTAGTGGGGGACTGTATACTCCTTATAAATTCCTTATTGTTTGTCTAAATTATGTAATGAGTGAGAGCCTCTTTTGTAATTGGAACAAACCATGATGTCCAGGGAAAACATATGGGTGCAAGTAAGCACTTGAAAAGATGCTCAAGATGGGAAATGCACATCAAAACCACACTGAGATGTCACTTCCTACCTATGAGGACGGCTAAAATTAAAAAGACTGACTATAGCAAGCGTTGATAAGGATGTGGAGGAACTAGAACTTGTATGCACTATTGATGGAAATGTAAAATGGTACAACCACTTCTTTAAAGTTTGACATCTTAAAAAGTTAAGTATACACCTGTCATGTGATCCAGACATTTCATCCCTAGGTCTGGCTTTATTGAATTAGAGAAGTAGAAAACAACCAATTGTTTATCCAGTGCATAGGTAAACAAACTGTGCTATGTCCCTGCAATTGAATATTGCTCAGCATTAAAAAATAATGAACTGCTACAGCATAGATAGATCTCAAAATAATCTTGCTGAAAAGAAAAGGAGAAGAAGCCAGACCAAAAAGAGTACATACTCTATAATTCCACTTATATAAAATTCAAGGGGAGTTGCTATCTCTCCCCTGATCTTAAACTTTTTGGTGGCTCTTAAGAGTTGTGTATGATTATATTAGTCCACCTCCACTTGCTACAGTGTCATTGGCAATTTGATCTGCCAGTGTTTATCCATGTCATTCATTCAATTAATTGAGCACCTACCATGTGCTTGATCTAGAGTAGACACTAGGTAATGTGTTGGTGAATAAAGTAGACATGATCCAGAGGGACACCTGGGTGGCTCAGTCAGTTAAGCGTCTGGCTTCGGCTCAGGTCATGATCCCTGGGTCCTGGGATTGAGTCCCGCATCGGGCTCCTTGCTCAGCAGGGAGCCTGCTTCTCCGTCTGCCTGCAGCTCCCCCTGCTTGTGTGAGCTCTCTCTCTCTGACAAATAGATAAAATCTTTTAAAAAACATAGACATGATCCCTTCCCTTGTGGAGCTTACCCTTTATTGAATGAACCAGTAAAACAAATAGGATAAGAAAAATAATTACTGGGGGAAAGGAGTGCTTATTTGGAAGGGGATTGGGAATCAGAGAAAACTTGTCTGGGTTTCAAGCAGAGAAGTAAAGCAGTCAGTTTCATGTTTTTGAAACACCATTCCATTCTGTTGCTGTGCATCCGATCAGGACACTCTTACACTAGTCTAGGAGACAGGTGGTAGAGGTTTAGACTCAGGTGGTCTTGGAGATGGAAAGCACTGAAAGAACTGATGGATATCCTTAATCAAACTGGGCAAATCCCAGAGGTTGACACTGATCAACATTCTTTGAATAGTGTAGTTTTACCAAATTTTTTTTTAAAGATTTTATTTATTTTTTTGAGAGGGAGAGAGAGAGAGGGCTCAAGAGCAGGGGAAGGGAGAAGCAGACTCCCCGCTGAGCAGAGAGCCCAGTGCAGGGCTCAATCCCAAGACGCTGGGATCATGACCTGAGCCAAAGGCAGACTGAGCCACCCAGGCATCCCTAGTTTTATCAGTTTTAAGTTCATATTACTGTCCTATGGTCCCCT